GGGAGCTGCGCTACGGAGCGTGCCGGCAAACATCTTGTACTGGCTTTGCAAATGCTCGTTGATTTTGTTCACCAGTATGATCCGCTTAAAACAAACCATCAATTCTATTATTATTGATTGTGACTTTTTACTCTTGTTCTAGAGAAGCTTTAAGGTGAGTGGAAGATTTATTTGTGGGAAGAAAAACATTTGAGAGGTATTTACAACGATTGATTTTGATTTCATACACTAACTGTGAGGTAGAAGTCATAATGGCTTCTTAAAATCTGCGGGAATATACGATTTTTATGCAGTATTTGCTGTGTCAAACTCATCGTCAGTTCCACCTTTTCTTTCTTCGTTTCTCGTATAGCTCTACAGAATAAAAAAAAATTTTGACAATGAGTGAGGTAATTGAGAAATTTATAATTCTGGATAGGAGTTAGTAGAATACATAAAAAGCAAAGCGAAGACAAATAACCGGAACATTACAAAAGTCTAAAAATTTCAGATTTTAGAAAAAGGAAAAACAATATACCTGCATGTACATCAGTCGACTACCCATGTATACAAACATACTTTTGTATATACAAGATATAGATGAAACCAAGACAATGCTTGAGTCAGGATCGTAGTGAAGGGAACAATTTTAGATGATGTGCCCCAGCCGAGAAAGGCTGCAGCGCAGCCGTGCAGATGGCTCCTGCGCGGGGCCACCTACCGCTCTTCTTTTTCTCTCATTTCTTCATCAACAGTCTTTATCGTAATTACTCTCGTGAAAATGCTTCGACTGTTCTCATTCGTTTATTTTACAGAGTTCTAATAAAATGCCAGGTGGTGGACGAGGTAATCGGCGAGATGTTAAACATTTGTCAAAGAATCGTTTTTCGCGGTTGGATTCCGACATCGTGAGCTCCTACGTGGATGATGACGAAGGTAGTAATAACTTACTTCACTAACCTTAGTTTTTGTTGGAAAAAATGGAGTTTTGTTTTGAGTATCTATTTCAATATTCCTTTTTTCCATAATCTTTTTATGCAAACATTTAACTCTTTGTCATCGTTTGTACAGCACCATTGCTTTTTCGGATAGTCTAGCATTTTGATTTTGTGATAATTCTTCTAGTTTCAGATAAGACGTTGTTCTAATAATTTTTGAAGATCATATATGTCCAAAATAAGCATTTTTAAAGATATTTATATAGCATGTTTGGATAATTGGTTATTTTTGAAAAATACTCGTATATTCAGAAGAGCGTCCTCGACCTCGGCAAGGTACTGTCGGTCGTGTCATCAATATGCTCGCCGGTCGTGTTATGCACGGCGGTGGTAACCGAAGAGGCAAGAAGGACGAGCAGACATTTCGAAGTGCTGCAGGAGTGTCCCGCCATACCGAGATGGTTTACAAAATTCGAGTATGCTACTTAATCTGTATCAGTCTGACTGGATATAAAATTGCTTTTTTTT